GTCAAGAAGAATGTTTGAATTTTTTCAGTTACGGTCATCGCTTTCCCTTTTCTGATAATAAATGATCTGCACTCCACTTTTTTTTATTTCATCCATTATCTCCGTTCATTGTTCTTTTTTCCCATCTTGCTTTTTAATAACAACTTTTACCAAACCTTGAGTTGAATTTTCGGATTTGCAGCCGAAAGTTCAAGTTACTGCATTTGATCACATAAGAGGCGCCCAATTGCCTTGATAAATTTCCACAATAGAGACTTTTTTTTAAAAAAAAAAAATTTTTTTTTAAAAAAAAAAAAAAATCAATTGAATATACGAAAAAAGATCAATGTTTTTTTTTTTTGTATTCCTTGAGGTAATATACCGACAGTTGTCAAAATTAATATTAGATTGTACCAGCTACCACAGTGTTACCTGATTGTTCTCTCTTGAGGGGTGTATTGTTTGTAAATTTCTTCATCGGAACTTTCCCCAAAAAAAATATGCATACAAAGGGAAAAGAAGTTATCTTTGACAATAGCTTCAAATATGACATCTGCGTCAAATCAAGTGGGGATGTGTAACGATGAAGGAGAATACCGACTAGCCAAAAATGTTGTTTGTCTTAAGATTTATGCAGAGAAATCGAGCAAAAAAGCAATTGAACCGTGGCCACACTTGATTGCAGCATCTGACATACACTATCAACATTCCTTTTAATTTCTTAGTGATGGGATTATTGCGAATAATCTGATCTTTGAACTACCCCATTTTTTTTTTTTTTTTTTTTTTTCGAAAATTAGCCTGAGTGAATTTTGATTGGTCAAATTAATGATCTTGATTTTAGCATGGATTATTTATTGGGGAAGATCGACTTTTTTTTAGGCAATTTATTTATAATTCGTCTATCATGATCAATACGAATTCGGCCGTCTTTATTTTTATAAACGATGACATTTATTTTTTTCCATGACGATGTTCTGTCGATTTTTCATAATAACATTTAGTTCATCTAATTTTAGTTAAGTAAACATAACAGTATTAATGATATTATTGGAGAAAAAGGCTATGGTACCTTTGAATTTCCTTATTCTAACCAATTCAGCCGAAAAAAAAAGCCCTTTTTTTTTCTGTGTTTGTGCTTATCCCTGCCTTGTAATGTACCGTTGTTATTGTAATATTAGAACTTAAAAAAAAAAGTGACAACGGTGTGACCCTTTCACCGGATTACAGATTCAATTCCCCTAAATCTATTTTAAATCTTATCCCGATTTTTTCATATATTAAAGTTAATTGAATTTAATATGTGGGTTATTTTAAAAAAAAATAATATTGAGAATCATTTTCTTTTTAAAGGTTAGAGCAGGTTTTTTTTTTATACATCACTTTAATAAACAGTTATATCATGAAAATATATACGTACAGTATTTACAGTATTACAGTATTACAGTATTACAATATGTATTATACTGCTATACTTACAGTATTATATTATCGTTACATTACTATTGAAAAATATTATTACTATTGAAAAAAATTTTTTCTGAACACAAACACAAACACAGCTTAAGGTTTATAACTCCCCTTTCCTTTATATTCTCCCTGGTTTCTTGTCTCAAAAAATAGAACGAGCCTTCGGTTGGGTTTTTTCATGAACTAAAGTTTTCTTCTTGTAATAATAATATATAATAATAATAAAAAGTAAGAAGCAAGTAAATTTCTTTTATTCTGTTCAAATATTACAGACTTTTTGTCTGGTTATTAAGAAATATAACAGGGTTATCCTCGTTAATACTCATTAATAATATCATCCTTTCTCTTCTCCTTCATAATCTCTATTTTAGTCCTCTGTCTCTTCCAACAGTCGGGCATCCTGATTGATTTTCACTACTAATCAACCTTTTTAATTAGTTCATTGAAAAAAACAACTATGGCTGGAAAGTAAGTGTAGAAAATCTTTGAACTTTTTTGAACTTTTTTGAAAATAGATTATTCTCTAACTTTCACTCATCTATATTTGTTTTATTATTTTTCATAGTTCGTTTGCAAATATAAATGATGAACTCGCTTATTATAAAAGCAGAGTTTCGGAATTGGAGGAAACTTTGAATAAAACTCAGGCTGAACTTGACGAGGTTCAAACTTCTGCCCGAGATTTCGAAGAAGAACTTATGAAAGAACTTGAACAATCTGAAAAAATACACCAAGAGTTGAGAAGTAAAAATGAATCTTTAAAAAATGAAGTTGATGAGTGGAAGGTAAATATTCATATATAATTGATTGAATTTCTTTGTTTAAAGCTTTTCAAAAATCTTTATTATTAACTCATTTATTAATTTATTAATTTATTATTTAATCATTTTAGCAAAAATATTATCAAGCTAAATCTGAATGTAACGTTACAGCTACCCAATTGCAAAGGGAGATTGATACGTAACAATCTTTGAAAGATAAATTCATTATTAAGACAAGGGAGTTGGAACTTGACAACGATGATCTTGAACGAACGGAAAGGTTAATTTCTTGATTTGCTAAAATCATAAGTTCGTTATGTATAATATAAGTCTCAATGTTAACCAATTTTCTTTATTACTCTCTCATATAGAGCTGCAAAGAGCTCATTGCAGGATCTAGAAAACAAGTACAATAAAGCTATCGAACGAAATGCGATCCTTGAAAACGAAATTGAAGGCAAAAATCAATTAATCGTTCAGGTACAAAGACTAAAGGATGAATTGAGAGGTATTTTGATAATTTTTTTTATAATATTTATCTATCAATTTTTTTTTTTTAAATCTCATTCAATAAATTTAATAATGTTTACCATATGTCAATTTCTATTAGATGTGAATATAGAGTTAGCTATAATGAAAAATAAGGAAGACGGTGAATATGGTCCACCACCAACGTCTACTGCTGCTGCTGCACGAATATCTGCCAAATACTCACATTCTACATTAGGAAAGACCGATGCATCATTGGATCCAAACTCGAATCCCGTCAAGATGGTACAAGAGATGGTTGGCAGGGTCAAAGTAATTATCATAACAAATACTTCCATTCATAATTATATTTATTTCTTAAACTTACGATTTTCTTTCTTTCAAAACAGAGTCTCGAAGCCCGTCTTGTTTCATGCCGCTCTCTTGTTACTCCACTTCTCGCCCCCCCACCTTCATATTCATCTTATTCTACAACAATGCCTTTACATACTTCACCACCGCAATCACCGAAATTTCCTCGAGGCGAATCACCCATTCGTAATGCAACAAAACATCGACGTTCATCTATTCAAAAAACGAAAATTCAAATCCCTTCATCTCTAAGTGTTGCGGTGAGCAAAGTCTA